AGGCGATGCGTCCAAGAAGCCAGGTTTTCCCAAGAAGCCAAAACAGGGAAGAGGAGGTGGAGGAGGGGCCGGTTCTGCTCGACACTTTCTCTGGAACTTGACACACCTTCGACAGCCACGTATGACATCCCTTGTTCCGAGAGCTTGGCTAGCTCTTGCCGGGATGGTGGCAGCTTGCAGGAGGAGCTACATGCGCCGGGAGACTGAGAGGAGGAGGAGGAGGAGGCTGGAACCTTTCCTGATGCACCTATTTGGGAAAGAATGTGAGGTGGGCTTCAACGTTGTGCAAGCAAGTTTTGCAATCTCGGACCCCCTTTGCGGCTTTCCTGAGATCCATTCTCCACGTTCAAGGGCTACTACCATATAGCTCTACTACGGCCCTTTTTTTCTTTGCCTATTCCAAAGTTGGGCTTGTCTGACGCTAAACCAGGAGGATCGAGACACAGGAGGAAGAGGGCCTATGATCAGGCGTTCCACATTTGTATCATGGTCTTGAACTACTGGCACTCCGACGTCAATCACATCCCTGTTGAGTCTCTTGCTCGACATCCTTCTCCTGTACAACAACAGACTGTGCCCAGACTAAGGAATCGGTTCAGGGCTTTCGGTAATTCGTGTGAAGATTCTCAAGTCCCACAGAGCGGCTGAAGAATCACATCTTTGTTGGCTCTGCTCACTGACCTCTCCGAGTTTGTCGCTTGGGAAGGTATAGGAGGAGATGCCTACTCTCGAACGTTCCCTGGAGCCAGCAAAGGCTATGAAGAAGCCAAAGAAGTTGCAAGAGATCTTGATCGAGCTGAAGAACTACGTCCCTACCGTGATCTAGATCCACAGAGGCTGAAGCTGGCTGGCAGCCTTTGTTGAGCCTGATAGCCTTCGTTGGGCTCAGCATGAGAGACATCCCCACCGACCTGATCTTCAGAAGGAGAAATATGAGTCAGTCAGGGACCTTGCTCCAGCGCTGGGACGTCAATGGTTTGTTCTTCACGAGAGAGCCCTTGCCTGAGGCGGACAGTGACCTGGCTATGAGGTTCTTCAGTTGCTACAAGAACACCCAGACAGACAGAATGATTGGCGACCGCCGATCCCGGAACTATGTGGAAGGAAAATTGGCGAAGTCCTTCTACCAGAACAGCAGCTTTCAATTTGTGCTTCAGACCGAAAGGACTCCTACCACCAGATCAGAGTCCCTAGCGCCAGAGCCAAGACCAATGCCATCTGGCCTTTGCTGAAAGTCTCGAAGCTTCAAGGGACTACCGCATTCCAGAAATGGTCTGTGGCAAACGCTGGCGGACGACGCTATGTTCGTGAGGCGGAAGGAGATTTCCTTGGCTTCAATCGGCAAAAGACGGACGCCAGAAAAAGTGGACCCTTATTTCTTTTGTTTTGCTCTTCATGCTTGCCTCGTTGGTGGCTGGACAAATGCTCTGCTCTACAGGCGCCCTTTCAGGTCATTGCTCCAGAGAGTCTATGATATACCTATGTCAGAGGCGGTACAGGAGTCTCCAAAAATGGTTCCTTGACGGACTAGCCATCGTCCCCTGTGAGACCCCTGAGGTGTGCAGTGAGACTTGGTGTGCTTCACGCATGTACGGCAGCCCTCACAGAAAGGAGTTTGTCTTTTTGGCAGGGTCTATTGACGCATCCATTTTGCACCGCCGGTGTGACAAGCAGCGCGAGCGCATCAGAATTGAGAGAAAATGGTCAAATCCTTCGGCTACTTACATTGATTAGCTTGCCTATGTACTCGCCTATGTCTTCCAGATTGCCCTCAGGAAGAAGCTGAGAGCACCTCGGCATCTCGAGCCTGAAGTCATCAGACTGGGGAGCATGCTTGTGGATGACCTTATGCTGTCACAAGACTGGAAGGTCGAGAAAGTTTGGCGCTGGAATTCGCCAAGCCACATCAACACCCAGGAGATTCTCTCAGCAGAAAGGCTTATGAAGCAGGGGGCTATATGCAGACCTTCCACTTGTTTCCCGGTTCTCATGGACTCCAATGTTGGCCTATCAGCTTTGGTCAAGGGCACGTCTCCGTCAAGAGGGCTCAGACGTTCTTTGAGGTCTCCGTTCTTTCACTTTGGGCCCACCAGATGGCTACCAGCAGATCATCCTACCAGAGATCATCCGCTGCCCACGACCTGCGCGTCGTTGCTGCCTTGCAATTGCCCGGGTCTCTGGCCTCAAGAGACTTGCCTCGATTTGGTGCAGACTGACAGTGTCGCTGCTTGGAAGCTTTCCTCCTTGGTTCTTTGATCAAGAAGGATGGAGATTTAGCCATGTGGCCTACAAGCACTATCCTGGACTTCACCCTTGTCAGACGCGGCCTCATGAGCTTGACTTTGACAGTACCAAGGGGTATCCTGGAGAAGGTCCTCTTTCCACCTGGGCGATCCCTCACCATTTCCTTCGGATTTTGTCGGGAGCAGTCATCTTTCTTGGATCTGCTCTGTGCCTGGACTTGGACTTTGGTGCGCACTCGTCTCTTTGGATTTGCACCTTCATCTGGATCGTCGCGCTCGGTCTAAGAAAATGTCCGTCGTTGGCGCTCTTGGATTTTGCTTCTGGCTTTCCTGCTCTGTCAAATAGCAGCGACTGTTTCGTGCCTGACAGAGGAAGACCGGGCAACGCAGCTGGGTCCCGCCTCTCCTGCCTTGCCTTTGGCGGTCTTTCCCCCAAATGACGGTTGGTTTTTCTGATCTGCTGCTACCCCAATGGTCTAGTTGGGTCCGCAGTGAGCCATGGAACGACTTTGGTCCCCCGAGACCAAGCTGACCGAATGAGGGCAGCAGGGCGAAGTCGCCAGGAGTTGCCTCAGGGACGCCCTGTGCTCCCAACGACCCAGAAGAACCGAGACCACCTGCTTGAGCTTTTTGCTAGTTGGTTGTTGGATCAGGGCACTAGCCTGGACGACCTGCTGATGTGTGCAATTGTGGACACCGAGGCTCTCAATGTTTGTTTGGAAAAGTATGGCCGTGAGCTTTTTGGCGCAGGACGGCCTTACGGCCACTATGCTGAAACGCTGAACGCTGTCTCTGGAAGGAGGCCAAGGGACAGAGGCTTTGGCCTGCAAGCGGACAGACGATGAGGAGCAGGTTTCAGAAATTGTTGGACTCTTTGTCCGACTTCCAGGTGACATCCGACGACGGATCGACTTAGGCTCACTCAGGGCAGGGGGAGCCTCTTGGCTCCTCCTGGTGAGCGAGGACTCCGAGCTCACCGAGGAGGGGCAGGTGGATTACGACGAAGGTCATGGAGATCTACGTGCAGGAAGCGTGGGCAATCCAGTTCCTACCACGTCTTCCTCATGAGATCAGGTCGAACATTCTGAATGGAGCTGCACTTTTTCCTTGGGCTTTGAACTTGGTGCTACAATGGCGGAAGGCCGCCATCACCGAATCTGCAGCCGCGCGAGCGCTTGAGCTGAAAACTTTGGGTGTGAAGGTCATGGGTGGAGAAACCACTGCTTGAAAGCAGCAGCTTGTGCACCCTCCAACGAATGTGGAGAAAAAGGTCC